TCTCTGCGACAGTGGACTCCCAATAAATGCCGAGTTCTCGTGTCCGTGTCTCTACGTTTTAGCAACCAAGTTGGCCCCACACGTGTTACCTCTGTACGAGGGCGCGACTGTTGGCCTTGATAAAATAAAAATGGCACGGGTAAGCTTCATCAGCTACTTGAAAGATTGACAAAGCTTTTCAGCACGGGAGACAGAGATATGGGCTTGTCATCACCAGCAACACACCACATCGTGACGGGACAGGCTACCCCTGTACGACAGTCTCCTCGACGCGTTCCCCTTGCACTTCTGCTAATAACGTGATAAAGGCTATGCTACAGCAGGGCGTGATTAAACCCTCGTGTTCCCCTAGGTCTTCACCAGTCACACTGCTGAAGAGAAAAGAGGAGTCAACACGTTTTTGCATGGATTATCGACGACTTAATGATGTCACCAAGAAGGACTCTTTTCCTTTGCCTCGAACGGACGATATCTTGGACGCTCTCGCAGGCTGCGAGTGGCTTTCTACTCTTGATCTCAAGAGTGGATATTGGCAGGTTCTCGTACACCCGGATGATCGAGAAAAGACTGCCTTTACTAGAGGTCAGGGCACATATCAATTCCGAGTGATGCCATTCGGGTTCTGCAACGCCCCGGCTAAATTCCAGAGACTAATGTAATCTGTGCTGCATGGTCCCGTGGGCACAGTTTGTCTTGTATACCTCGACGGCATTGCGGTATTGGGCAAGACATTTTCCGATCACCTGGCGAATCTCGAGCTTGTGCTTGCACGACTTCAAAAGGCAAACCTAAAGCTTACACCAAATAAATGTGCGCTGTGCACAAGGCAGGTTTAGTACCTCGGGCACATCATTTCGACGGACGGGGTTTCCACAGATCCTCGGAAACTCTCTGCTATTGCCGAGTGGCTAACCTCGAGATCCACCGCTGACGTTCAAAGATTCATTGGGCTGGCATTGTACCACCGAAGATTCGTCCCTAGTTTCGCCCACATCACCAAGCCCTTGTATATCCTGACAGAAAAGAAAGCTTCGTTTGTCTGGTCCCCAGAATGCCAACTGGCCTTTGAGAAACTCAAAACGGCCTTCACGTCTCTGCCAACTTTTGCCTTCCCAAAAGACACAACACCATTCATCCTTGACATCGACGCTAGCGCCTCGGCAGCCGGTGCTGTACTATCGCAAGAACAAGATGGGCATGAGCGAGTCATTGCGCATCATAGTAAGGTTTTTACGAAGCCAGAACGCAACTACTGCACCACCCAATGCGAACTTTTGTCGATCATCAAGGCCATAACTCATTTCCATAATTATTTTCCGAGACGGAAATTCATCATCCGAACCGACCACGCATCATTAACTTGATGTTGAGTTTTAAGACACTGATGGACAGGTCGCCCGATGGCTGGAACGCCTTCACCAATACAACTTCAATATACAGCATCGCCACGGTTCACTCCACACCAATGCCGACGGCCTTTCGCGCTGCCCATGCGGTGAGCAGTCGCGCAAGTAGTGCACAAGCATTGCAAAACGCAGCTGCATCTCGCTCAAAGCAATTCCTTGTGGAAACGAAGCGTGGACACCGGAAAGTCTTCGGGCAACTCAACTTGACGATCCAGACATCGGCCTGCTCGTACAATGTAAAGTGAAGTATAGAAGACCTTAAGGCGAAGAGGTATCCAGCTTATCTCCTACCCTTAAGGGCTGTGAAAAAATTGTAAGGGTGCAGGCGAGCTGGTGGAAGTTAACCATAGTTTTGTTTAACCCGAGACTGGGGTATTTCGGAAAAGGGACGAGAAGAAAAGAGGCCACAAGGAGGCGACGTCTCAATTGAGACGTCGCCTCCTTGTGGCCTCTTTTCTTCTCGTCCCTTTTCCGAAATACCCCAGTTTCGGGTTAAACAAAACTATCCTTAAGGGCTACTTGGTGCAATGGGACTCTTTATACCTCCGCGACAACGTTCTCCATCGACGCTGGGAGCCCGATGCGGGTGGTTTTGTCGTCTGGCAACTGGTACTGCCACACACAGCCTGCTCCCACGTATTTCAACAACTGCACAGCAGTCCAGAAGGAGGACACTTCGGCGTGAGTCGCACGATAAAGAAGATTCGCCAACGCTTCTACTGGCTGCAGTGCCACAGTGACGTGAAACAGTGGTATCGTCAGTGCGACTTGTGCGCCTCCCGTAAAGGGCCTCACGCCAAACAGCGAGCGCCACTTCAAGAGCATGTGACGGGGTCACCTTTTGAGCGCGTTGGCATTGACGTGCTAGGCCCACTTCCCCGATCTAAATCTGGGAACAGGTTGTTGCTAGTCATCGTTGACTACTTTACAAAGTGACCGAAGGTTATTCCGATTCCAAACCAGGCCTCCCGTGAAATTGCTGACGCCCTGGTGAAGAATTGGATCACTAGGTACGGGGCGCCCCTGAGCATTCACTCGGAGCATTCACTCGGAGCACCGTACAGCAGCTCACGAGGTCACCGGTTATACGCCAGCGATGATGCTGCTCGGCCATGACGTTCGTATGCCCTGTGAACTAACCATCCGACGAGCATCAGAACCGGCCACAGACCCTGTGTCTTTCGTGAGCGAACTGAGAACAAATCTCGAGCGAATGCACGCATTTGCTCGACAACGGCTGTCAAGCGGCCTCGCTCGCATGAAGAGCCAGTGTGACGCACAGGTCACAGCACGCCCTTTTTCACCAGGCGACAGGGCATGGTTGTAGAACCCGATTCGGAAGCGAGGACTGTCCCCAAAGCTGCAGCGTCACTGGCAGGACCCTTTACAATCGTGAAACGGCTCAGTGACGTGGTCTATTGCATACGTCAAAACGATCGATCCCGGGCTCTCGTGGTTCACCGTGATCGACTGTTCTTCTATGAAGGACTTCGCTAAACCTGTATAAAATTCCAGAAGACGGGAGGGGGATAATGTAGCGAAGGTGATGTCGCGGTAAAGAAGACAACAAAGAGAACACAGGGTGCTCGTGACAGAGTTGGAAGCCTTCGAGCAAAGCAAGCGGACGTTCAGTATATGAACAGCTTGTAAGCGGTAAACGCTACAATACTATTATCACCCTATAATCGCTAATAGTATCGTGGATATCGTATGTTCAATCAGTTTTCGAAGTTTGCTAAAACGAGCTTAAACAATGTTTTTTGTTGCGCTAGATTCTATTCAGGTTGAACAAAAGCTTTAGAGAAGACAATTGAGAAATAGTGTGGTAAACGACAAACACGAGCGGATGCATCTACCAGCTGAACTTGAATGGCGAATATATTTAAACTATACTAGACTCGAACTGCATGACAAATTAGGTGACGAGACGTCTTTATGCTACGAGATGCCGAAGAATCGTGATCTCAGCTAAATTCCCTTGATCATCGGGAAGCTGTATGATCGCCATATTGGTCCAAAATCTTGAAGTATCTCTTTGACCTTTTTTTTCTCGGTGAGTCAATCCGAAAACCCATTCACAAGTTGCTTCATAAAGACATTTTTTGTATACCTAGATTTTGTTATCCACACACCGCCGAAACAAGCGCACATATTCGCACCACCATCACATGCAACCTTGGAACAAGCGCACATATTCGCACCATCATCACATGCAACCTTGGAACCTGTCTTGAGATACGGAAGAACAATATCGTTGTAAGAGATTTGTGGAAATAAGCATGATTGATAAGTCGACTGCATACACAGTGCCAAAGACGCTGATATTGGCGAGGAACACTTTCAGTGTACAGGAACGCTCCATAGCGATCGATCTTGTCACGACGGGTTCAGAACGACCCTTTTGAAGATTTGAAAGGACCGTAATAACAATTTCCATGGTAACAGAGACCAAATAACCGATATCTTTGTGAGGTTTCGGTCGTCTCTATGTTGATATCTGTTTGTGTCCGGCTTGCAGGCAGGGTAAGTGTCGCTACTTTCTCAGGATCCAGTGAGTTTAATCTCAACGTGGGATGTCATCGTGATAACCCGTCGATCTACTCCTTTCCTTTTCACTGTTATCACAGACCACGTGACCTGTTTGTTTGCACATATTCACGGCTGCTGGAATAAACGAGAGATTCTTGGTCACCCATTTTTGCGTGTCTAACATGATGGTAGCGGTGGGATCGCGGCCGGCTGCTACGAAATGCCGCTAACGACGAGAACGGACCCTCAAGCAACGACAACAGAAGCAGCGCTGACCTAGTCATCGCTTTAGCCGGCGTCACGTCGACATGACGGGACTCAAGCCTCCGAAGCCATTCAACTTCCAGAACGCAGCAGACTGGCCCGACTTAATGGATGAGTTCGACGACCACAGGTTCGCATCCGGTCTGCTCGAGAAACCTGAAGAGGTCCTAGTAAGAACGCTTCTTTATACGACGGGCCGGAAGTCGCAGATGATTCCTTGGTCACTAGGTGCAAAAGACAAAAAATTAAAAACGCTGGAGCTCATAAAGTTCTGCTTTCGGAGGTACTTGGTCCGCACAAAAAACACAAAGTACGAAAACGCACGTTTCAACTAAAGGCGACAGCAACCGGGAGAAATTGTAGACAATGACTCCCTCCTTCGCTTCATTATGGAGGCTCGCCTGACACATTTCCTTTAATCCCCATCCACGTCACGTGACCTCAACACCAATAGTAATTGTGCGGAGGAGGAGGAAGGGCATACCTTCCCCTCCTCCTCAAGGACTGAGCTCTAATTTCCCGTTACAAAACTTAAGGTCTCTTTTTTTATTTATTTTTTAAGTTTTACTTGTGTGGCTTGTATTTAGAAAAAAAAATGTTAATTTAAACTCCGAAACACCGGAACTGTTCCAAATAAACACTCCAGTCCTGAGCACGGCAACACGGACCATTCGCCTGTCTGTTGCTCTGGAGAAATAGTGCAAAGTGCAACTTGAATGCTGCGGTACTCTGGCTCAGAGCACTGCGACGCCAATTTTGCTTCTATACGAATATCGCCCGTATGCTTTGCTTTTCCAGAGAGACGACTTATGACATCACACTGGGCTACCATGGCCACGATGGAAGTGAGCCCTTCAACGGGTAAGGGTTCCCTATGAGGTTGCAGCATGTTTCATTACCTCATAATAATCAGAAGCCTGTACTGTGGGTATGAGGGGGCAAAATTTGTCACAGGGTTAGTGTAAAAGGAAGAAGCCTTCGTAACATTTAAATCGTCAGTTCCTTCTTATATTTGGTGTCCCATCTCTACTCCGTTCACCCCGCGTAGACACAAGTTTGGGGGTATTGGTGCGTGTGATTGGTTCAAAATTGGTTTGCGGGTATAGGTGCGTGTGATTAAAATAGCTAATAAAATACTAGGATTGATCAGGCGTTTTTTTAAACTCGCTTCCTCAGAAACAAAACTCACAGCATACAAGATACTAATAAGGCCTCAACTAGAATACGCAAGTGAATTCTAGGACCTGCCTGTTAAATGTCCCATTTCAAACCTGGAGCAAGTACACCGGCGTGCGTAACGTTTTGTTTTCTCTTGCAATAGACGACTGGACTCTGTGTCACCCCTCTACAATAGGGCGAAGCTACCCCTCTTTCAAGTGCGAAGAAAGTAGAAGCGGCTTCATCTCTTTTATGACATAATGAATAACCTGGTTCTTGTAAATCAGCAACCGTATATCAATAAGAGCTTGTCGTGTATAACCCGCAATAAGCATACTCGGCATACGGAAGAGCGGAAGTTTTCCAAGGACTGTCTTAGGTGCTCTATCGTTTTACTAACAGCGCGAGAATGGATCGAGCTCCCAGCACATGTCGTGACCGCTGAAACTCGAGAAGAGTTTAGTTCCCTTGTTTCAAAGATTTCTGCCAACAGTACCTAGAGTTGTCATTTCATCGTTGTGTTGAATACGTGTTATTCATCTGTACATTTTGAGCGCGTGTTTTTGTGTAGTACAAACCCACTTCTATCTTGGTCCTGTGTAGGACCGATAGTATTTTAAATAAATAAATAGATAGATAAGCACGTAGCTTCCACCGCACTGTCAGCTTAGAGGTGAACGGAGTTTAGCCCCAATACCCTTTGTTGATACTCGTACTATTACTATTTGTTGCTATTGCCATATGTACATACTCGTTTTATTACCATTCGTTGATGCAACACCATTTGTTCAAACTTGTTTTATCGCTATTTTGTAAATTAACTGCTACACAAGCTGTCAGAGGCCCATTTGCGTGTTCACAAGGGTCACGTGACATGGGTCCGCTTCAGCAGAATTAGTGCTTCCTGCTCGCAGATTTTAGCTGCTAAACATTCAGTGCCAAACATGTCAGGTTGTCTCCATAACATTGGCATGGCTGTTTGAGGATACAAATGCATCAAGGCTCTTTGCTATGCGCACTAAAAGCATATTCACGATATTTGACCTGTGTGCAGGTACTACTACGTCAACTCCAAGCTAAACGTCCCTTCGCGGTACGTGGCCACCCTGAAGACTATTCCCATGCTCACGGTGGGGGTCTTTCATCATTCACCCATTCTTCTATCAAGTCAAAAACATCCCCATAGTAAAATACATCAGTGTTTGTTGTTTCCGTTGATAACTTAAGCGCGAGTTTGGGCTCATCAACGCGACATACAGCAACCTTTGACTTGTTCTTTAGTCGTTTTGGGCCACTATCATATTCACGATGTAGCAGTATTGCAATGGCGTCAGAACGAGGGGAGGGGCGATCACACCGTCCCAATCTTTTTTCGTAATTTCTTCCAACACCTTGTAGATGACGGAGCTGTAGCGTTAAATTATCACCTCGAGGGCTGTGTCTGTGTTCGGGTAGGCTACAGGGGTTGTAAATATTGCTTCATGCCTGATGTCCATTGAGGTAGAGGGCCTTAGAGCGATAAACTGGCAGCTTAAAGTGACTCCCAATTGGCCGCCGCCAGGTTGCACATTTTTGACCAGTAGACACGTGACATTATAGTTTTACGTCTAAATTTTAACGAAGAACCACACACAAATAATTGCTTATTTATCTTTAATAACAATACCGGCGAGGTAAGTTGTTTGGCTTGTTTTAAGTGCAAAATGTGCTTTTACGACAAAAACTTGGGCAGCTTTGCAATGCCTCCGCTAGAGGCCGATAGCCGCGGTGCTGTATTTTGGGTTTTAATCGGAGCTAGACACCGATTTCTGGGGCTAGCAGTATTGACAAAATAGTTTGTCATGTCTTTTTACAGCGATCGTGATACAAATCTCGGCTCCGTTTTGCGTAAAAACCTCAAGATTTGGTACGGTCACGTGTCTAGTGGTCCAAATTGTACAACATGGTGGCAGCCAAGTGGGTGTCACTTTTGCCTGGTGAACGGGATACCAGTCAATCCATCTAAGCTCCTCTACCTGCTAATGTCTCACCACAAACGTTTCAACAAAAAATTACGAATTTTTTTTTGTGTGTGTTTTTTTGTTTTTATTGAGGAACTTTAGATTTTTGAAAGTGCTGTTCGTCTACTATACAGACGTAGCGACAAAACACACCCTCAGAGAAACGCTCCATTTAAATTGCCTTCTTGGTTGGCAGTGCCCAGCCTCTCTGGTGAGACCGCCCGGGCCACTTCACCCCAAGGCGCTTTATACAAAAACGAACGCCATTCGTAGACATTTCATAAACGGCATGCATTGTTATTGTCACTCTCCATATCGCTTGGTATAATACTTCCATGCTAGCAAATGTCCGAACCACACTTATGATGGTCTGGACGAAGCGATCGCTCGCCTCTTCCAGCGGCCAAGAGCGGTTCCACGCTTTATACCTCATGGGTCACTATCATGGTGCCATCTGTCAGCTGGAAGCCGAACAAAAACAGCAGAAGTCAGTTGATTGTTTGGACACTGGGATCAAAATTGTGAGCAGTAGGCGAAAACTATGCAAACTTTTAAGGCTCACCCATCCATTTACGGGTAAACAATACCTCTACAGCGTGTGATAAAATGCCCAATCCTCTCAGCCATTTTTTTTTCCTACCACCTGAGTACCAGGTGCGCTGCTTCCCTTATAAAGAATATACTGCGCTATGTAAGCTAGAGTGTAGGGACCACTCTCGCCTGCGCGATCGTCACACCTCCCCTTCCAGGCCGCCATAGCACAATGTCCTGGTAGTACCATCCCTCCATTTATTGCATCAGCAGGTACTAACCCGTTCCTTTCTCTTGGCCGGACATATTAGGAAATTGCTCGCGGAAAGATAAGTTGTCGTAGATACAAAACTATAAATCATACATCTAGAGTTCTTGTCCACAAGATATAAGGCCGTATTAAAACACCTAGTTACCGATTCCAAGTTACTCGTGATTATAAGTAAGTTGCATTCCTAGTTAGTGGTTAACGCGCGGAGAGCTTCCTGCCTAAGTCTCCCAGCGGTGACAAAGCAGTCCCTCCCGATCGCCCAAAGCACTCAAGAAAAACAGCGGAAGTTGCTGTAAGGCATTTAATGAGTACATCTAAATACCAAAAAAATATATATATTTATAGCTGAACTTTCAACGCAACCCACTGTAACAGATTGACTCATATGATATGACACAAAATAAGAAGTTGAGAGCTTGTGCTAACACGCGACATGTGTGTTCCGTGCCGTGACGACAGACGCAGCTACGCGTGCACAGTGGCCCACATATGAGGCGTTATAAACTGAGGGGTTTGCTCTCAATTCAGCCGGAAAAATGGGACTCTGCACATCACAAGCTACGAAGCGACACGAGCTGATCAAGGTCCGTCGTCTGCTCCTCGGGTTCTTGCCGCCCCGACCTCACCTTCGCTTCCCTCGCGTAAGCCCTACCGGACAAAACCACCCAAACTCGCTTGTGACAGGGTCGCGTGCACATCACGCGGGCGCAGGTATCATTTCAACTTCTTAGGGCTGGGCATCAAGAAAGTCACATAAATCATCCCCCCCCCCCCCCTCCTCCTCCGGTGGTCGTGTAGAGGTTACGTGACCGCTCGTAACTCGTGGTCGCATGTTTTCGGCGACCCGAGGCCAATGCTCCCCGACGGAGACTAAGTTTCTCTTTTGGTACCTGCTCATGTTTAATGTAAGCTTTATCTATGTAATTCCATTTTTCTCCAAGCAAATGACATTATTCTTTTATTAATGCTTTTTAATGTGAAATCACTCAGTATCACGTAATTTTCGAAACTCAGCGGATCTGCGTCAGCGCCGACCATCGAAAATGTTAAAAAATGTGTCTAACTTTTCACTGAACGAAGGCTATGCGCTGTAATATTATGAGGTCAAATGCACCCGTGAAGTACATCTCCGGCGAAAGTTTGAGATTGTTAAGTGCGGCCGTCAAATTTTCCGACCGAATTTAGTTCGAACCCTTCGATTCATAACGCGGTACGTATTCTCTCGATAATATGGATGTTGTCGCGCGTGACCGCTCGTGCGTACACATCTCCTATTCTATATTTGAAATACGGTATCTCTCTCATTCCGAATACACGTGTATCTTATGAGGAAGCAGGTGAGTGTATAGAAGGATATTCTGAAATATGACGGGCCTGCATGGTGTAATGATTCATGAAGACATTGATGGAGCGTCTCGTCCCTCTAACATCTCCGTCGTATCTTCCCAGCCCAGCAGCATTCTGGCCGTGTTCGGAGGTTACCTGGGCTTCTGGCTCGGTCTGTCCATCTACAGCGGCGTCACCCAGATCACGGGCTACGTCCAGGGAGGCATAATCCGGAGGCTCAGGAACAGCTTCAACAAAGCCAGGTCAGCAAGGGGCGTGCCAACTGCCCTACAATAGTGTGTGGGTTCACTGGGTCGACGAGTACCCGTCCAGAAAGCCCCGAGTCAGGATCGGGCAAAGGGCACCGCGGGCCCAAAGCTCTCTGCCGGGGCGGCTAGTGCACAGCGCTCTCCTCGTCCTGCTGAAATACGGCGGCCGCCCGGGCGTCGAAACCAGCTATGCCAAGGCGCAACACTAGAAGAGAGCCAACTACACGGGCGCTCCGACATTTATCTTTCAATTCAGAGCTTCTCAAACTTTTCAACTTTCTTCCCGACCAATAACATTCAATATCCCCTCCTCCTCCCCTTCCCCCGCCCCCTATGCTTTTCACGATGCTACAAGCTTTTCTTTTTCATTACATCAGCAGTAATACACAACATGAATGCCGATACGTCATTTGACAGTTAATGTAGTCAGATTGAGTCAGTTGGGCAAGACACCATCGCATAATAGAAGAAAAACATGCCAAAAGGACTCCTAATGTCTAAGGTTAGCATGCTTGTTAGTTTGCCACAACGATTGCGGAGTTACAACCGCAACTATCAGTTCCGGCCCGATGTTGAGATGCTACCTGTACTTAGCCTCCAACGACGTCACGGCTGAGAAAACAACTTGAAATGTTTCCATTTCCCGGACCACTTCGCGACACAGCTTGGGGTCGCGACCCACAGTTCGGAAACACTAATCTACTGTGTTCAGTATAACACCATATTTGTCTCTGTTTCATGGGCGAAGCAATATCTTGGTGCATGCTGGCGCAACCATTCAGTATAGAAGACTACGCCTGAGGCTGCTCCGCTGCGTTGCTTTGAGAAGCTTTGTGCGAAATGTTCTGGAAAAATGACAGAAATGCATTCATTCATTCATTCATTTATTCATTCATTCATCGTTTTATTGTTTTATCGAGTTGAATATTATTTTATTTATTTACTTATTTGTACCAACATTGCCCAGTCATGAAAGTCCAAGAGCACCATGAACCCTTTCACTGTTTACAAACATGAGCCGCTGCTTGCGTCCCAAGCGATTTTTTGTCGCTCCGTCTTCGCAAGCCTGTCGAGCTTGCTTATGTAATCGGTGCTATAAAAAAGCATAAATTACACAGACAACAAAGGTGGAGATTGAACGAGGGCCTTCGGTTGTACAATTTCACAATCCAGTTACTTTAGTGCAATTAAACGTCCTGGAGAAGACAAGTTGGTTTACAAGAATATTCGAAAATTTTGAAAAAAATCTCGCTCGTCATCGTTCTTTTGGCATTCACCTGGATAATTGGTGCAGTTGTTTAAAAAATAAAAGCCGTTTACAACTCCCTGTAACGCCGAATTAGAGCGCAGCTCTTGAGGAGGAGGAGGGGAAGGTACGGAGAGGGGGCTATGCACCTCCTCCTCTCCTGTTCGCCTCCCATTTAGGAAAAAATTTTCCGCTACATTTTTCCGCTAGATTTAGCCGGGCATTTTTTCGCGCTAAATTTGGCGAGGAAAATTTTCCGCTAGATCTAGTTTCGCTAAATTTAGCGGGAAAATTGTTCCGCTAGATTTAGCAGGGAATTTTTTACGCTAAATTTAGCGGGGAAAATTTTCTGCTAAATTTAGCGGGAAATTTTTCCGCTAAATTTAGCGGGGAAATTTTTCCGCTAAATTTGGTGGGGAGAATTTTCCGCTAAATTTAACGGGGAAAATTTTCCACTAGATTTAGTGGGGAAAATTTTCCGCTAGATTTAAAGGGGGAAGTTTCCGCTAAGTTTAGCGGGGAAAATTTTATGCTAAATTTAGCGGGGAAAATTTTATGCTAAATTTAGCGGGGAAATTTGCCCAACATGCACCGCGCGGTTACACCACCGGCAACGGCGACGGCGACGCCGACGCCGCTCAAGCCGGAAACGGGCGCCTAAGAGCTGCGCTCTAGAGGCCTGTTCACACATACAGCGGAGCGCTAAGTTAGCGCTACGTGAGCGCTCCAAGGAGCGCTCATGTGGCGCTTCCTCGCGCGTGACTTAGTTCTAACATAGCGCGCGATTAGCGCTTCTGTAGCGCCTTGTTAGCGCTCCAGTAGCGCCTTGTTAGCGCTGCAGTAGCGCCTTTTTAGCGCTTCAGTAGCGCCGTGTTAGCGCTTCAGTAGCGCTTCTTGTTCCGCGGTGCTGCGGATTAGCGCGTGCACAGCGATTCCGGTTCTTGTGGTTGGGTGTGCACACCGTGGGTGTGCATCAGCAGCACTATGGCGGACATGTGGGATGCTGCAATAGAAATGCGACAAGTGCTCTTAGATACGCGATTAGTGTATATGTGTGTGGACGGCTTAACGCCCAGAAGAGCCTTCTGGGTGCGCGAAATCTTTCGCCACCGAGATACCGACGGGTACCCGGCGAACCTTGTTCATAGGCTGAGGGGCCGAGAGACAGAGCTCTTTCGAAGGCGACTGCACTCTTAGAAAAAAGGGTATGGATAGTCCTCCCTTAGGGGAGGAACGTTCTTGTAACCTATGTTCCTTTAGAAAGGGAGAAACTTTCGTCCCTGAAGCAGGGGAGCAAAGAGTTCCTCAGTCGCCTGCAGCTCAATATGGCGGCCCCGAATCGAGCAAATCGAGCCCAATAAGGCTTAACGAGGACGCTGCGTCTCTTGTACGGGACGAGAGCAGCAACAAATAACAGCGTCACACGAGTTTTCCGCGAACTGTGTTTATTTCCGAAGCCAGATTCCCCCCACAGGTATAGAAACTTGCGTTTCGAAAGCAGTTACTCAGTCTTCTCGTCGACAGCACTGCGATGTTAAACGGAGACAACCGATACCCAGTTACTTCGCACACGTTGCGTCTTACCTTGGGTGTTCCTCGAGTCACAATTCCTTCGTCAACCGCACATCACGGAGAAGTGCAAACTCAATCCGCGAACCAAAAGCCGCTCTCGAAAGAACAAACTCGAAGCCGCTGTTTATCGCGTAGCGTGAAAGAAGGTTAAATCGCTAGCCACCAGATGGTGGGGTCAAGCAGAGTAATTGCAAGTAGCTAGGCCAGGTGGCGCGAGGTGCCGCCCAATTCATGTTCTACAAAAAATAATTTGCTCTTCTCAGGCCACTACTGCGCTTCAGAGCCGCTCTCCTGCGCTTGGGTATCCTCTACTATACACACATTTCGCTTATTACTAGTATCAGGTGAACATACATTGAGCACATACACGGCACACACAAATATCAATACAACGGAACACCACACTAACCCGAACACTACATCCGTGCTCTGCGTTTCCGTCTTTTATACTGGTCGTTTTGAACGTACGGAACTTTTCGGTGACTCCCTAAGCAATAAAAAATATTCGTAGCATGTTCATTTTTTTCCAGCAATGTCATACCTCTGAGAGTATTTTAAATGGGTCACGAGATGAATCTCTTATTAAAAAGTAAACGCGCTCATATCATGCCGTAATTATTAGAAAGCCAATAAATTAACCCGCTCCAATGCGGTTCGAAGCCATGAGTTTGTTTCCCCACACGGCACGTCCTAGCCTGTATTTCTATTGGTTTTTCTATTTGTGCTGTTCGCGCAAAGCTGCAATTGCCGTCTTGAATTAATCTCTGTAGAGCGGATATTCACTCAGCTGGAAGTGATGCTTCACATGCTGAGAAATCGCTTTTCGATCAACTTGAATGCAGCCAAAGCCTCGACTTGTGGCAGGTGTTAAGTGTACGGAGCTACGCCGTGGCGAGCCCGAAAACTTCTAGCGCTCATCCCAGCGCGCCACTTGTAGGGCAGTTTCTCCAGGAACCGTAGTATATTTAAACAGCAAAATAAAGGGTAGCTTTTTTTTTCGATTTGACCTACTATTGTTTTTTAATGCCGAAATTACATACTGTAAATAAACGTACTTTCCGTCACGATTTCGTACTGTTCAGTCCTTGCCCCAGAGCGCAATCGCTCTCGGGGACGAGACAATAGACCCTTCCCGAAATTCAGTGCCATCTGGTGGCTGAAATGGCGGTTTAAATTTTGCCATACGAATGGCGGCAATTAACCCGTAGCCTGCAGTATTTTATCGGGCACCGTCACTTTTGCGTGTCAACGGCAGACGAGAATAAGCTTTTCGCTATACAGGTTTTTCTGGATCATCTCTTCCAGTGTCGATTCCTACAACGATGCAACCAGTCAGAACGAAGCGCCAACCCAGACAGAGGCCTTGATAAAGTTCTATAAGTCAGGGGGTTTCGAAGTCGATTTTGTGCCACTAACAGGTTCACTGGGCTCGAATTAGAGAAATGAACGCTTACGCAGCGCTTGCATTCAATTCCGGTTTTGCAACGTGCTAACGTCTAGAATGTATAGGCCTCGAATCCTCAGCTTAGGAGTATCTTCGACCATGTTCCTTCATCAGTAAATAGAAAGCCGCCATTGGTATGGCACATATGCTATTTTTCAGATGATGATGATAGTGATCAAAGTGGCCAGGCTGAATTTCGGAAAGGGTCTATTCCAACAGTCATATTGGCCACTCTACGATAGCGATAGGAGCTTCTACTGTTCAGACCAGCGTTCCAACATGACTATCCGCACGTTGATCGATTGCACGTAATCCCTCAAGTGGTATTAAACTTTTTAATGCAAAGCGACACCCCGCCCCCTTATCACGGCCCGACCAACGGCATCAATGCCCGACAGTTTACAATCTCATCTTGTTACACCACTGATACGCGAACACACGGTCACATCGGCGATAATTCCAGTCTTCTGTTCACAACCCACAACACTGCCATCACGATGTTGCAGCTATGTTCCTGACACGCATAAATACAGAACCACGTTGAACGCTGGTTGCACTCGGCATCGGAAAACAGAACCGAACTCAGCACGGAAGGCACCCAGGCAGCCGGCAGCAAAATTTGCCTGTTTTGGACGCAGTTCCTGCGGTTTCTGTAACTTCGAAAACGTCGACACAGTTCCGCGTGGTTTCGTTACTGTAGTGACCGTAGTTCCGTCGGTTCGCCGCGCGCGC